GTGTGCCCGGCGATTGGCTGGCAACCGGTTCAGGGTGTCCCCTGCCAACTGCCCGCAGATGGCTGGGATAGGCTCCAACACCCCCCGTGACCCTTGTGAGGATCAAGCGGTATTTAGTGTGTTGTATGATTGAATATAAAAGGTGGAAAATCTCAAATGTAATATAATTATTAACATTAAAGCATTTCTGTCCAATAATTGTTTAAATGTTCAATGAAATCTGTTGTTAATTTCATCATTAAATCATCATTAACCTTTTCATGCACCATGTAGCCTGATGACATAAGCTGTCCACTCTAGTATCCGCTGTTGCTGAAAGGGTTAAATAGTTCAATATTGCAGGATCGATCTAAAAAAAAAAAAAATTGTTAAAAATCTATGTAACCTGCTGGACAGCTGACAATAACATTTTTACACTTACACACACACACACACACACTCTTACATTACGTGATGTGAATTTTGTGTTCAACTCAATTTAATTCACACGCACGCGCACTCCCCTCCATCATCGCTGGCTTTATGTGACTGCCTCAGCCCCTTCCCCCCCCCCCTTTTTTTTTTTACGCTCTTTGTCCTTGCAGCCGTCTTCTTCACCAGCCAGGGAAGCGTCTGCATTTGATCAACACGTCGTCCTCTTCTTCCCCCCCACCCCGCATCCACCGCCATCCGGCCGCCATTCGTCTTCTTTAAATGGAACGCGCTGTGACAAAGTGTCGTCCTCGCCTTCTTTGTCGTCTTCGCTACTAGAAAGACACTAAAAGTATAGCCGCTGCAAATTTGATGCAGTCATTCTGTGATCGTCGCTCAAAGGTGAACGAATGTTGGGGTTGGAAAAACGCCTTGCTAGTGTGAAAAGTCAAATGAGCTTTTCCCATTGAAATGAATGGAAATCCCATTCATCCATTCCAGGCTCCTCATAAAAATGGGAAAACAGGGATGCAGGTGGGGTTCATAATAATGTTTCATCTTCTCTCTGAGCTCATCGGTGCCAGCACTAACGTTTAGGTAGGTAGGTAGGAAGATCGATAGATAAATACAAATTTGTGGCAAAATATCACGTCATCATATTCTTGGGTTTCTTTACAACAAAATATCAATATTTATCATCCATCCATTTTCTCAACCGCTTTATCCTCACAAGGGTCGCGGGGGCATGCTAGAGCCTATCCGAGCTTTCTTCGTGCAGTAGGTGGGGGGACACCCTGAACCGGTTGCCAGCCAATCCCAGGGCACAAGTAGACAAACAACCATCCACGCCTCATGCATGTTTTTGGAATGTGGGAGGAAGCCGGAGTACCCGGAGAAAACCCACGCAGGCACGGGGAACACATGCAAACTCCACACAGGAAGGCCGGAGGTTGACGCTCTAACCACTCGAACGCTGGGCCGCCCAGTATTTTCACATATGATACATATTTTTAAAAATCAGAATAATGTCTGTAACACTGAAAAATACTCCAGAATTATTGGACAAAATATCGATACAGTGTTGTGATAGAGCCTATCGGTATCTTTATAGGATACATTATGTCTTTCATACAATATAAATTTCACTATAATACGTCTTTCATAACAGGACACACAAAACGTCTAGCAGATCCTTTGCCAAATTGAACAGAAAGTCATATTTTGGTTTGAAGTCACCATTTTACACTCAGTCTCACCCCCTGTAAAGGTATTCTGCCGAACTCTGATGAAGAAATTCTTCCGAAATGAGCCCCAGTCATAAGCAGGTATAATAGAGAGATGGTTGATTAAATCACAGAGCTTTTTTTTTTTTTTGGCCATCGTCTAATGTGGGTAGAGCAATGGTGTAAAAGTTTGGTCATTTCTAGGATTGAGATAGTGTGAAGTGAAACATTCTTTCTGCTTTCATTTTTAGCAGCTGGAAGATATGTTGTTTCAAGCTTCCGTTTAGGTATTTGTTTCTGAGCCATCCTGCCATCTCTTCTTACCCACATAGGCCCTAAAAAAATGGATCTGGGACTGTTACAATGAAAGCAACTATGTGCCCCACCAATCGGTTTCACTGTGAATTTGTCATTGTAGCATTATACAAGACTTTTAATCTGGTGCTGCCCTTGGGGAGCACATAACACAGTTTGGAAATCCCTGACCTGGTTAAATATAAAAGTATCATCTTTTTAGCGAGCATGTTTGATGTTTTGTGGGCTTCAAACGCTACTAAAAGCCTCCTCGTGATCATCTCAAACCCAATTTTTGACAAGTTTGGTTAAAAAGTAATCTTGGTTCACATTTCACTGCTGTCAATTTTTTTGTTTCCTTTTTCCAGCATGGCCTCGGTACCGAGTGCTGCGGGCTCTGGACACAGGCCAGTACAACCTGGAGATCTCGCGTGCCGAGCTATCCGATGACTCGCTGTACGAGTGCCAGGCCACCGAGGCCGCCTTGCGCTCGCGGAGGGCCAAGCTCAACGTCCTCAGTAAGTCACAGCCAGCACCACCCCCCACCCCTCAAAGTTTAGCAATTATGAGGTAATGGAGATATTGAAAAAAAATCCACTTACAGTACATCACAACATGGAAAATTTGTCATGATTGGTTCACGAAGACACATTTGATCCAATTATATCATTTGACCCCATGTTTTGTATGCAATGACACCACAAATTCAATATTGTATCTGCCTGTGGAATATCTTGTTATAAATGCAAGCTATGCATATTTATATAAAAGAACAAAATGGGACAAGCACACGTCCATGTTTACGCACACATGCATGAATAGAAAAGGGTGAGTAACAGTCTGTTTGTATCTCCGTCCTCCAGTCCCACCCGAGGACCCCGTGATGGAGGCCAGCCCGGAGCTGCTGCTCATGGCGGGCACGCCGCACAACCTCACCTGCATCACCCGCGGCGCCAAACCAGCCGCACACATCCAGTGGCTCAAGAACGGGCTGCCCGCCGAGGGCGCCCACCAGTCCACGGTGACTCAAACACGTCATCACGCACACGCACACACACACACACACACACACACACACACACACACACACACACACACACACACACACACACACACACACACACACACGCACGCACGCGCGCAACAGGACCTCCACCAAGGCTTATTAGGCGAAGCAATCCACGGAAGCTAAGCATCGCTACAATGTTGGTGACTGCACACATCCACTTATGATAACTGGATTTCAGACGTTGGCTGACTCATTTAGTGCCGCCGCCCATTGGCTGAAGGCCATGTCAATCCAAATGTCTGAACGTGTCATTCATGATGTGTTAAAGTCAAGACATGCACCCAATTTGGATCTAATGTGAATCAGATCTGGATTGACATTTCTGTCCCAGACACTGCCTACAAGTGACGCATTTTTTTTGTTAAAAGTGATTAAAAAAATGACAGACAAAAAAATCTCAACCTTTCCATGGGAAGCAGTACAAAAACAGACGAACAAACAGACGATTCCGGCAGATCCACGCTTAATCTCACACGCCGAGTGTTGGATTAAAGAGGGGTTACGGCGCAAATTCCGCTACAGAAGCAGAACAAGTTCACTCTAAATTCTCAGCAAAGCTTCTTCATCTTCATTGTTGGCTCATTTTTATGCTCTTTGCCTCTGGCACAGAAAAGGAGGAATTAGGGAGTATCTACCCCAAAGCAGACAGCAGCTCAGGAGTCATGTGCAAAAAGTAGAAACAAAACCTTATACAGTCGACAAGCAGCAAAGCTAATCAAAAAAACGCCATTGAGGGACAACGAAGGCGCTCTGTTTCCACGAGAAGTTTTGAGGTCACTTTCATACATGGGGGGAAAAAGTTTAACGTTCGGTGGCCATTTTGTCAGGATCCAGTCAGTCATCTGTAGTGTTTACAGTATAAAGTCAACCTGACATACGTGTTTTACGTGTTTCTTAAGACTGTTTAGTGCTCAGTCAACGTAATGTGCTTGTGTTGCATCTTTTCATAATAATTGAAGACAACTTCAATCGACGGAATGTGTAGTTTGTAACATGTTTTTTTTTTCTAATCATTAAAGTCATTTGTTTGTTTGAAATACACATTGCCATCGTCTTCGAGGACAATTTAGACTCTTCCGTCGTCTATGTAACGTGCATATTGGCGTAAACATACGTGTTCTGATAATCACTAAAGACAGTTTACTCTTCATTTAACCTCACATTCCTGGTTTTGCAACTTTTTGTTATATTTGCTCGTTTTCATTATCTTTAAGGCCCTTGTTGTTCTTCAGTCAAGGTCACATTGAAGTCTTTCTACCATTTGTGACGTAATCATCAAGGACAGTTCAGTCATCAGAAATTACTGATTTTGTAACACGCATATTTTCGGGCAAACGGATGTGTTTTGAAACATTCTTGAGAGTAACACTATTCATTGTTTGTTTTTGTAACGTAAAATGTTTTCGGACACTTTCCGTACATTTTTTTTTAACCTATCATTTGTTTTTTGTGGTCTTCAGGCTTCTTTAACATGCGTGATTTTGTTCCATGTGTTTGTAGCAAAAGCATTTTCATAGTCACCGAAGACAGCGTTGTCTACAAGAAACCAAACGCAGGCTTTCAGAATCCCGAAAGACAATTTAGTCAAGATGACATACAGTGCACATTTTGGTAACATGCATCTTGTCATAATCAACTTAACAAGGGGAATGCACCTAACCTTTTAAATGTCATCATTTGCATGATCTGAACACTTTGCCCTCTTTCTCCCACCTCTGCACCCACCCACACGGACACAGACACACACACACACACACACACACACACACACACTTGCTCTCGCTCACTCTCCCTCTCGTGCACTCAACTCCAGACGTGAAATCATGCCCGAGAGCCTCGCCGCAAACACACCGGCTCACATGTGCACACGCAGCAGCAAACACCGACTCACACAATCCAATGGACGTTTTGACATCTTCTGGCACTCGTGCATAACGCACTGTTCCATTCATTTATTTTATTTTATTTGTATTTATTTATTTTAAAAAATGCGGAATATAAGACCCCAAATAACAAAATGAATAAAAGCAAATGTTCCCGTCGTGACAGGAGGTGCTGCCAGACCGAAAGAGAGTGACCACCAGGAGCTACCTGCCCATCATGCCGCTGGACACCGACAGCCACAGCAACTTCACCTGCGTGGCCAGCAACCCGGCCGTGCCCATGGGCAAGCGGGCCAACGTCATGCTCAACGTGCACCGTAGGTTCTGACTCAACCAACAATGACATCCAACATAATACGGTGGTGACCTGAGATACCAGGTCTTAACAATTTATGCGTTTTCGAGGTACAAGCAGCCATTTGGCAGTTCGTGAACAATCCTTCGCAAGAGACTTCGAGTTGTTTTCTTGCCACAACAGGTTGAAGTTCGTCAAACAAAGCATAAAACATTTGTGTATTTAATTTTCACATAACTTGCCCTCCCAAAGTCTGCTAGCTTCATGCTAACTCACCATGCAAATTGTCACAAAAGGACTAACTAATAGCATCATGTCGGGTATTTGAACACAAACGGTGGAGCAACACATAGGCGATAATTTAATACTCACAGGCATATTTTCTTGATCATCTGCGAAAAACTACTAATCGGTAAAACAGTTTTGCAACACTCACACAAAAATATATTTTCTGCTCCATAATATTGTCTATAATTGGTGCTTTCTCCAGATCCGCCGACGGTGACGTTGTCTATTGAGCCTCGCTCAGTCCTGGAGGGCGAGAGGGTCACCTTCACCTGCCAGGCCACCGCCAACCCGCCCATCATGGGCTACAGGTCCGGATGGCTGGAATGGGGCCCCTGCTGTACTCGGTTAGAGAGGGCTGATCAAACATTTTATCTATCGTGTCTCCATTAGGTGGGCGAAGGGCGGCGTGTTGCTAGAGGGCGCCAGAGAGAGCATGTTTGCCACCACGGCCGACCACTCCTTCTTCACCGAACCTGTGTCCTGTCAGGTGTTCAACGCGGTGGGCAGCACCAACGTTAGCATACTGGTGGACGTACATTGTAAGTACCAAAGACGTGTTCTTTGGATCCTGTGAACCCGTGTTTGTTCCATGAAACAATGCCTTACCCACCTACACATCTGCCAGCCCCAAAAATCTGCCCATTTACCTTCAGGCGCGACTTCTTCTGTCTCTTTGATTCAGTCGGACCCATCCTGGTGGTAGAACCGCGGCCCATCACGGTGGACGTGAACTCTGACGTCACCCTGAACTGCAAGTGGTCTGGAAACCCGCCGCTTACCCTCACCTGGACCAAGAAAGGCTCCAACATGGTGAGAAATTATTGCCCGCTTTAGTTCACATGTTAATGAAGGTATGCATGTTTACCTTTATTAGTATATCAATCTAAAATAGATGACCATTCCCTCCAACGATAGTCAAATTGCATTTGATGGGCAAAAGTATACAAACATGGGAGAAGACATTTTCTACTTAAGATTTACCAAACGCTCTTAAGACGGCAAGATTCAGTGCAACTAACAGTGCACTTCCTGTGGCTCTTATTTTCTATTTACACCACTTCTGGTGCACTCCTTAGTGGACTGACACTAAATGTATGACAGCAACAGTAATCGGAAGAGGCTTTCCCATCATGCTTTGGTGCAGTTAAAAGTGACATTTGTGACTGTGTTATGCTTCTTGAATGTGTTACTTTGTACAGAGAAGGTGTAATATAAATACAGTGGTTATTATTTCTAGTCGGTACATTTGACTACTTTTGGTTTTGACCGGGAGTACAAAATGTGTTTCTTTTTGTGACGAAATACAAAAGATTAAATGGTTTAAAAACAAATTTTCATGATAACTTTAACCCAAAGTACCCTAGAATAAGCAGTATACCACATGTAATCAGATTAACGTATTTTACTAAAAATAATTAAGAAAATGTTTTGTTTTGGGCTTTTTTTCTCAAAACTTGCTTTCACGGACAAAATATCAGAACAATGAGGCATTCGGGCCACTTAAAACATCTAGAACACACTAAACTTAGGTTAATTAACGCTTTCGGGGACAGCGGTCACTACAATACCCACCTTATGTCATCAGGTTACGGGGTACATGAAAGGGTTAAAATAGCTAACGCAAGGGTGTCCAAAGTTGGTCCTCAAGCTCCGATGTCCTGCCTGTTTTCCATCTCTCCCTGCTGAAACACACTTCTTGTTTCAGAGGATCAGCTCATCAGCAACTTCTGAAGAAGCAAGATTCTATTTTTTTTGCCTCCCTACTTTTGCAGTTTCCAACGTATTCATAAATCTCAGGTTTAACCGACCTAAATATCTTCTTAGTACCTCTCTTCTGACTACATGCCGGGCCATTTATCTGTCACCCATCCTGTCTAGCCACCAAGCTATTTTATTTCTTTGCAGAATTTCTCTGCCTCTTCGTCTTTCTCTTGATTATGCTGCATCTCTCCCGGTAGAACTCAGTGCTGTCCGGCACAGTGCGGCACAATGTGGTACTACTCGGCGCACAACTCTAAATCCAAATTGCCCTGTACCTGTACATTGTAAAAAAGGGGACATTGGAAACAGCTGGACAGCAGCACAGAGGGGAAACCCCATGTTACTGGGAAATTCTCCAGAAAGCCTTCGATTGGTGCTAAGAGGAGGGTAAAAAAAAAAAAAGCCAGACTTCATAAATGTTTGCTTAGTTGTAAAGTAGACACTTTGTATAAAGACTCTCCGTGTCTTAAATCTTTAATTCATGCCCAACAGTTTAAGAGAAAGCTCCAGGAGAAAAAAGCTAATGGAGCCTGCTGAGTAAATCAACATGTTTTATAAATTAAATATGCAGCTCTCGCTCGCCCTGTCTGGCTCAGCGTGATGCCTCTCAAGCAGACTCTGCTGTTTACTGGGGTCTGCGCTTGTCCACGTCTTATGTTTGTGTGTCCACGGCTATGTGTGTGCAGGTGCTTAGTAACAATAACCAGCTGTACTTGAAGTCGGTGAGCCAGGCAGACGCCGGCCAGTACGTGTGCAAGGCCATCGTGCCGCGCATCGGCGTGGGTGAGACGGAAGTGATGCTCACAGTCAATGGTGAGTCGCCATCAACAAGTCCATGTAATACATGTAGTATTAGTACCAAGTCACCTTTCCTCGTGACAAACTTACCCGTTGACTTAATAGACTGTTTGACTTCCGAGCTGCCTGCCTACTCACTTTCTTGTTTTACTGTTACCTACTTTTCCATCCACCTTTCTGCCTACATGTCTTACCTATTTACTCATCAGCAAGTCTCACTTACAACCCACCTACCTTCTTATCTGCCCAACTATCTATAAATACAAATTTCAGGCAGAACTCAAAAGCACAACTTTTGTTTTTCTATTGAAATGAATAGAATAGTCATTAAACCCAAAAAAAAAAAAAATCATAATAAAAAATACCAATAAATGCTGCACGTTATAAAAATGTACAGTCATGGTGTAACTGAATAAAATGGAAAATTTTAAACAATTTGGATCTCAAACTAATTCAGCAAGCATCTTCTTCTTCCTTGGTCATCAGGTAGCAATGTCATATAGATGGAGTAATATTAATTGGATTTTTTTTTTCCCAGTGGTTAACAAATGTATGCCTGTAAGTAATGTTATATTGTCTGTCTACTTGTGTTGCTTCAACTCAAAAAGACATTGATACTATTGTTTTAGCCTGTCTATGGCGTTTCCCATGTGTTAGTATTAAGCAATCATTCTTGCGTGTCAGCCAGTTAGGAGCTTTTTTTTTAAACACACAATGAGTAATTAATCAAAATATTTTTTTTCAACGCCAAGCAACACATCTTGAAAATCATAAAAGCCAAGTGACTCGTAACATGAGGTACTTGCCTACATAGTTCTCTTGACCAGCGATCAGACTACCTAAACTTTTTTCCCTACCTATCTGCTGTTCACTTATGTTGTGTCTTGCCCCGGCCAGGCCCGCCCATAATCTCCAGCGATCCGGTCCAGTACGCCGTCCGGGGTGAGCGAGGCGAGATTAAGTGCTATATCGCCAGCACGCCCCCACCGGACAAGATCGTGAGTCCATCCGTCTCTCATTTATGCCTTTTTTAACCATAGTAAGACTAATTGACACAGATTACTGGCAAAAGAACCCCCTCTTTTTTCTCTCGTGGCCTGGACTCATTGTGCATCAACCGTTTTTTGTTTTTTTTTCCCCCTTTTTTGGCTTGAGTGTCGCATTCGCAACCTCTTGAATGCAGCATGAGTTTTCTTTGAAGAAACCTGTTAACCCTATTTTTTTTCCTTCAAAGCACACTTGATGGAACGACACTCTAGCACAAAGTGATGGATCATTTCAAAGCTTGCGTATGCGGGAACGTTTTCACCCTCCCCGCCTATTTAAAAAAAAAAAAACAGCGTTTAGCTGCACCTCTCAGCGGCAATTATCCAATTTTTGCTGCGCCGACATGACAGAAATCAGAGCTTTTAGGAGGCTTCAGAACCCCCAGCCCGGCCAGAGAGCTGTGAGCGTATAATGTGATACGACATCATAGTCGTGGCTTAATGCACAGACACAAGGACTTATAAAAAATGGAATGTGAGCTGTGTGTGTGTGTGTGTGTGTGTGTGTGTGTGTGTGTGTGTGTGTGTGTGTGTGTGTGTGTGTGTGCGCGCGCGTGTGTGCGCGCGTGCATTTGCCGCCAGATATTCCTAAATAAATCCATCTGTGTGCATATTCTTCTCCATAAAAGAGGGTAGATCTGCAGGAATTTATGCGGTGGAAGTGACTAGCACTAATGTACGGCGAGACTAATCACATTTCACTTATATTTTAACCGTTGCAGTCTCAGTAAAGCGAGTTACAACGCATTTCAAGCTTGGGGGCAAGCGGTCTTTTCCTGGACTTTGCTATCAATATGGCAGGCCTGCTTTTGTATCTGACATTGGGCCAATGATATGTCAAATCGTTGTTACTCCACCAAGGATGGATTTGCCACCTCACAATACGGTACGATATAACGCAGTGGCAAACCGATGTGCTGAAATTAGAAAGCAATGTAGTACGCTGTAATCACGACCGGACCAATATGAGCCAATTCACTACAATATCGATCTGACGCCTTAAAAATTCACTCCCAATTATGATGTGATGCCATATGATGAACATAATTCTGACGCAATGTGATTCACAAAGATTACGTCGTGAAAAAATACGATTCACTGCAATGTGATCCAATCATAATCTGACATTATTCATTGACAATGTGATCCAGGTACGATGCACCTTTCGCAAAACGCGCTCAAATGATCGCCATTTTTTTCCAAGTCAGGACATCGTGTCGTAGTCAATTTGGATGGCACCTCACTGCTTTTTTTCCCCTTCACATTCCTAATGGAGAGTTGACAAGGCTCATAAACCTTCCACGACATGTGTGTTGTAGGTGTGGGCATGGAAGGAGAACGTGTGGGAGAAGGAGAAAGGCACGTTGATGGAGCGCTACACAGTAGAGCAAAGCAAGCCGCCGTCGCAGGGCGGGGCCGTGCTCTCCACACTCACCATCAACAACGTCATGGAATCCGACTTCCACTCGCCATACAATTGCACTGCCTGGAACTCCTTCGGGCCCCGCACCATGATCATCACTCTGGAGGAAACCGGTACGGAAACACAACAAAAGGCCATTAGTCCAGACGAATCCTGAACCGGGATAACATTTGGCAGGGGTCCACTTACATCATCAAAATGAACCCAAATGAATGTGGGCCCCAAATGAAGCCATGGGGCCAGTGGCATGATTTTGTGAGTCCCTCAATAATTCAAAATAAAATCCAAAATAATGAGAGCTTTGGATAAAGCTATGCGCTATGCCGTTAGTTCAAACCTGTTCAATTTTTACTGTTAAATTAATCTCCTTGAGTCAAGTCATGGTATCACTTTAGTGGGGGCGGGGGGATATTACCTTTGTGCAACATCTGTTGGATTTCCAATTTTTGGGTCAACCCATGGTCTCACTTTTAGAACAACACCCGTCGCATGTAAAAATGTCATTTGTTGAGGTTGACCCGTGGCATCACCTTAGTGGGAAACTTGTTGGCTTGAAATTACAGTTTGGGGGTTGACTAAATGAATGTGCAAAACTGTATTTAGTGTGCGTGCGTGCGTGTGTTGACTACCAAACTGGAAAAGACTGGATTGGATTTCTATGTTTGAAATCAGCTTTGTGGGTTGACCCATGGTGTCACCTGAGTGCAAAAACCAATTGGATGTCTACTTTGTTTTTTGGGTTGACCTTACTGCAACAGCCGTTGATTCCGATTTTAAATGTAGTCTTTTTGCATGTTCACCCATGATGTGACCTTGGTGCAAAACCTGTTGGGTTTGTTCCCACCCCCAGAACAACCTGTTGATTTTCTGTATTTCGCGAGCCTAGGCTGTCATTGTTTCGCTGCTTCTCGTGCCCCTTTCAGACATCGTCCCAGTGGGCATCATCGCCGGAGGCACGGTGGGCTCGTCCATCCTTCTGCTCACGCTGCTGCTGGCTCTCGCCTTCTTCCTGTACCGCCAACGCAAAGGCAGTGAGTTTCTCGTCTCCGTCAATCAGCTTCTGCGACATATGCCGTCTGCTTTCGCGTTGTATTCAAATGAACCTCATGAATATTCATACCAACGTGGCAAACAGCCTCCAAACGCCCACACGCCAACCTCTCATTATTCTTGAAATAATTGTGGATATGCCAGATAAAGATAGCGTCTGAAGACGAGGTGAACCTTAAAATGGTGAACTTCCTACATGTTTTTCAAGCAACATCAAAATCCAGCCGGAGAATGCAATTTGTCCAAATTGAGTCAGGGTCAAGGTCATCTTTATTGTCAAATATGCTCTATGTACAACATACAGCACAGATGAAATTTCTTTCCTCTCAATCCTCAGTGCAAACATGTAGTGCATTAAAACACACCAAAATGCTGCACAATTAATTAAAAGGGAAGAAAAATAGAATGTGAGATGGGGTTGGGGTGTTGGTGGGGGAGCTGAATTGATAGATACACTTTTTTTTTTAAATGTGGGTCGACTAAAAAAAAAAAAAAATGGAAATTTTGAGAATGTGAAAAATACTTGCCAAGGTGTCCTGAATGAACTGAACAGTTGGAGCAATAAAATTTACCAGGGCATTTTCCTCGATTTTGTCTCCCAACTCTGGACACTGTAAAGTGGATCCTGAAGTGCTTGTGTTGTCCTTCCAGGACATCGAGGAGTGACGCTGGGCAAAGCCGACATCAAAGTGGAGACGGTCAACAAGGAGACGCACAGTCTAGAGGAGGAAGCGGCCACCGTCTCCACGGCCACGCGCATGGTCAAGGCGATGTACTCGGTGAGTCCACGCGCACGTTGACCGGTTGCCACATCCACAACATGACACCCACACACACCTGGGAAAACGGTGGACTTTTTTAGTCAAATGTTTTCTTTTTTTTTTTAAAGCAGACAGATGGGACACCTCATTTTTAGTTGAGGTAGGAAAAGAACATGGAATATCTAAATTTGTATGTCAAATATTATACGACTGGAAAAATAATTCAGCCTCATATTTTAATATTTTTTTTGTTGTAATTTACAACAAATCATTTAACCAATTATGTGATGAGAAATCATTACAAATCCATGTAATTGTGTAAAATAGTTGAATCAAACAATGATTCATGTTTTAATGTATCAGTGAGTTAATTGTTTTACAAATGGTTGATTAGAATTAAATGAATGAATACATGTCAAACGTGTAAAATGGCGCATCTGATTAACCAGTCAGTTGTTTCATATCTAAAATTGTTTTACTTGGATTTTTGGACTCAATTAACAATAGTCAATTAATTCCATCTCATTATTTTATTGGCAGTTAAATGATAACGAATCAGAATACAAATCTGTTGAATATTTTGTTAAAAATGTACTTAGTATTTACAATTAAATGATTTGTTTAATGAGATGATTAAACAAAATATTTTTAAGTATATCATTCATAATAGTAGATTCTCCTTTTGGGTTTTATTTATAATTAAGAGAATCTGGAAAGCATTACATGCATACGCAAAACTATTCACTTAGCGAAAAGCATTTCAATGATTCTTCATCAGTCAGTCGGGCAAGAATTGAATGAGCTAAATGAATAAAAGTTGCAACTCTGTTCTCCTCCCTGTCTTCCTCCTCTCTGGACGTCCGCCCCTCCTCTCCCTCCGTCCGTCTGTGTGTTTTGTCGTTTGACGGTTTAGTTTCTGCCCTCTGTCTCCCTCTCTCCCTCCACTCAGCCCTTCAAAGACGACATGGACCTCAAGCAGGATGTGCGCAGTGAGAGCGACACGCGTGACGACTACGAACTCAAGGTAGCGCATGGGCTTTGAGTTTCAAGTTAGGGTGTCATACGATGGTTTCCATTTCAAGTTCGGCTTGGAGATTAGGTTTAGGGTGTTAGAAACGCGGGTCTGGGCTCCAGGTCTTGAATTAGTTTCACGAGGCCGTGACTTGTGTTTGCAATTTCAGGATCCAACAAATGGCTACTACAACGTGCGAGCGACCACCCACGACGAGGCTCGCCCTCAGTCCCGCGCCATCCACTACCAGGGAGACTTCCGCTCTCCCAACGCGAACAGCGCGGCAGGCGGCGCCACCGTTTCCGCAGCCCCGCCCTCCGCCCCCAGCGGCGCGGTCCCCCCCAGCGGAGTACCGGGCTCCCGGGCCGGTTGCTATGACCCGCGCCCCCCTTCCCGCATCTCGCACTCCACCTACGCCCAGTTCAGCACGCTCTCCCGGGCGGCGGCCGCTGCCCAGCAGGCGGCATCCAACCCACCGGGGGACTACCCGGGGGACTGCGGGCTGCTGGACGGCACCACCCAACTTGCCTACGACAGCTACGGGTACCCCTCGCAGTACCACGGCTATCGCGTGGCCTTCGCACCGCCTGCGGAGGAGGGGCCGGCCTATGAGATGTACCCCACGGGACCAGGGAGCGGACCTGGGCAGCACAGCCCCGAAGCAGGGCTGGGAAAGTACGACACAGCTACCCGCTTTTCGTATTCGTCACCCCCTTCTGACCACTCACAGAGACACACGCAGAGGATGCAGACTCATGTGTGAAAGCAAAACCACATGCGTTGGCGTTAGCAATATGCATGCTAATTGGCGCTAACTACAATCAACAAAGAAGAGCAGCACTTCTGACTGATCAGCCAACACTTTGGGGTTACCAGAACCTAAAATTGTATCCCGTTGAAAATATGTTTTACAATAATACCCCGTTAGCGCCTCACCCTCCAAAAAAATCGTTTTCCAATTAAAATGAAATTCAATGGCCATGATAGGACACATGAAAAAATCTGAAGGACGAAAGTCTGAAATGGAAGAAGGCGGCATCCTTGTGAGGATAAAGTGGATCAGAAAATGGATGTAATTACAGTAGTTATTTTCAGTCAAATCCGGTGCAACTTCAGCTGGCCACCATGGTTGGGAATTATTCACGACCAATCGGTGGATGCAGGTATCTAAGTTGGTATCTCAGTAAGTGGCGAATGCTTGTGAACTCGGGAGACCAAAGTATTGCTGGAGCTTTCATCAGTGCGATGTCTTGTCAAGACCAATTGGACGTTGCGTATTGACAGCTCCACAAAGTAGCCGAGATGTCTCTGCGATGTGTCCAGCAGGTCTTGGCGATTTCGCAGACCTGCCGCAGATGTAGAAAAAGTCTCCAAAAAGGTCTCCGAAAGGAATTGAACATGTTTGAATTTACCACGACTGCCTGGCGACCCGACTAGTCTCCAGGATACGTCTCGGAGACTTGAGTCTCACCATCGGGTCACCATCTTGTGTCCAGGCCAGTCAGATAGGCCTGTTAGATGATTGGTCGACACTAAAGGCCCTATTTTCATACACAAGCGCTCGTGCACTTGGCCTAAACATGGGCCATTTTTATTTTCATGCTGTGTCAAGTCTAGTTCACCATGTTGGGGACCTTGTTGCGCTTCTCTGGGCGTTCCGGTGGACGGAGCTGGTGTGCCTCCGTCACACCTCACAATTTGGTGGCAGAAAGTAGACTGTGCTGTAAAAACGAGTACATCTTCATTTTTGTGCCAGGGCAAGTCTTAACAGGTTTGTGAATTTGGTCGACCCCCGCTATGCCTCAATGGGCCTTCTGGTTTATTAGATTGCATGCCCACGGCACATCTGGCAATTTGGTGACCCAAATCAGACTGCATTTTACATTTGCAAAAACTTGCCTGGAGATGGCTGTGTTGGCTCCCACAACGGCGAAAATGCCGTCTTCTCACTAGTTTGGCAAAATACCAAGAGAACGCTCTACTCCACCCATGCACTGGTCAGTTTTTATGCTCTCGCTGTCTTAACATGGGAATCCACTTTGAACCATTTGCCATGAAAAAAAAATGGATGTCTTTATTGCGAAATTCCTTGCTTTTATGTGGACATTTTGTACAAAACAAAGCGACATAACTTTCCATGCACCGTAACAACATGGCAGCTTGTTGAAAAAACACAAACCAGTGTGGGGAGTCTCTCTTCCAGGAGTAGGTAGCAATGCGTCACGCAGATTTTCTACACTCATGACGCGTTTCGACGTCGGCTTTTTAGTCCGTTTGATGACTTTTGTTTTTTTAAAAAAAGAAAAAGAAAAGAAAAATACCTCCGCAACCCTGGATCCTCAAGTGTCAAAATGTGTTTGTTTCTTGTCACTTGCACAGTAGAATAGTTTTTTTTCCCTCCACATTTATACTGAAATGGGGGATGGAGGGGAACTGCAAAAAAGAACATTTATTGTATTTTTATTTAAAAAAAGAAAAATGTGGACCAAAGGTTCAAAATTTTGTGTGAGGGGACACTGTTGGATTTTTACAACGGAACATTTTCGCCAAGGAAGGACGATGTTTATGCAGCAAAGAGAATGAATGGGGGTGTTTTTTTGTTGTTGGTGGTTTGTTTTTTGAAGCAGAGTCCCTCAGACCACCAGTCCTCCGTGACTGGAATGCCTTTTTTGACGGTTGGACAGCAGGCTGGCTTTCGACAGTGGAGTCTTAACATATCAAGGTGAAGCTTCAGAGGCTTCCGTGGAGCTCATTTTGCTGTTGTAAACCTGTCAGCAACATGCCAACAACATGTAAATGACACAAACAACATGTAAACATACATGTAATGCTTCCTCAATGCAGCAAAAACACAATGGTGATGTGTTGTTTTTTTATGGTCTTTAATCTTTGCTGTATGTTTGTGACTGGCTTTTAGTGTTTATTACTGGTGTCCCATATATACTATATTGATTATTTTTGCTGAGCCTTACCCTAAAAAGTGCAGACTGGCCAATCAAAACTCAGCACAGAACAGCAGTCTGGTGTTAAATCAATTGAGACATTTTTTACTTGTTTTTCGAGGGTTTGGATATTTTTGTTCCTTTTGGTGTCCTGTTAAAAAAATTTAAAAAAATACAAAATCTTAAGAGTTTCAAATTAGGGTTCTAAATTAGGATTTCAAGACAGGAAATTGGAATTTCAAGATCAAGTTCAGGTTCCAAAATGGGGTTTCAAGTAGGATGGATTCCAGCTTAGGTTAGGGTTACAAAACTGATGGTTTCAATATAGGGTAAACGTTTCAAGTTAACTTTAAAATTAGGCTTTCAAGAGAGGGTCAGTGGTCCAAAGTAGGGTGCCAAGGCAGGGTTGGGATTTAAAATTACCGTTGCAGGCTAGGGTTGAGGTTAAAAATAAGAGTGGCTAGGTTTTGAAATTACAGTAGTCTCAAATTACAATTCCGAATTGGGCTTTGCAGTGTTAGGGTTTCCAATGAGAACTGAATGGAGAAATTTCCCCTGTTAAATTTTCCTGTTTGTCCTTCTGAATGGTATTCAGAACTTTTAATTATCAGCACTTTAACACTGTCATCTCCTTTTGGGAAATGTCAAACTAATACCCCTTTCGCTATATGGTGATTTATTATTATTATTTTTATGTTCTTTCATGAGAAGAAGCGCTCTGCAAAGTGGGGCTGAAGGAGGATTCGCTGAGCCACCAGTGGCTCCATCCGCTCACGTACTTGACGTCTGCTGCCAAAGCACTGCAAGGAGCTCGACTGTGTTCACTATGCGCGTGCGATTTTAAACGCAGCTTGAAACCTCTCAGAACAGCTGAAAGGATGAAAAATTGCACCGATCAGCAAATTGTTAAATTTTTCATCAGAGATGCAAGTAAACTTTTCTAGATTTTTTTGCAAATCTGCCCTCTTTATTTTCTCGAGCACGTCAACTGTTCATAATAATAACAAAACAATACTATTCTAGATGATATGTAACTTCCAGTGGAATTTTTTTTTCTGAAACGTCATATCTATAATAAATTACAACACATGGTAAAATTCATACTGTCAAACTAAAAAAGAATGAAAAAACAAATCTGACGTGCTAGAAAAAAAAAAATTTAAATCAGCGACAAGGACATACAAAGCCAAATTACAAAAGAGTCGCTGGAGTAGTGACTTGCTAACTTGACCCACACGATTATCTTGTGTTTGTTTTTTTTTTTTTTTTGTTGTTGTAACAAAATTGACAGTCAAGATCATATCATCTCCATGATCCAGTCTTGACTTTTCCTGTGACACAACATATTCTGATATGTAAGATCACGTTTGTCTTTTACTTTTATATATATTTAAAAGGTTAAAACAAAACGATTGTTTTATCCATGTGTCAAATTGTAATTGTAAGTTATTTTTTCACACAATTCCAGAAAATAAAACTTTCATACAAAAAAAGCATACTTGTAATCATAATCAGTTACATAGGATAAGATAAGAAAACCTTTATTTTACTCACAATGCGTGTTGATTTGTTTGGTTTCGGTTGAATTCTTTTTCTAACTAACTGGTCATTTAAATGGGACTTCAATTTTTGGGCGGCTAAAACTAGAAATATGAGGAAAAAGAATTGAAAATAATTTGTAGGTTTTTTTTTTAGGTTAAACTTAGGGATGAAAAAATTAGGAACCTGGATCGTTTTGTCTTTTTCGTGTTAATTTCTGGGTCTTCCTCGTTTCAAGCCGTCCCACAACAACGCACGCACACGCGCACACACCATTTCCCCCCCCCATTTCTCTTTTCTGACCACTTTGTTTTTCGTCTTTTCCACAGACATCACCTTTAGTCCTCATTTTTCTCTTCGCGTCTCCCCTTGTTGCCCGGAGATGAGAAATGAAAAGATTAGGTGTGCAGCTGGCCATCTTTACTTAGCGCTCCGTCGCTGATGTTCTGCTTTCTCCTCCTGGCTCAGGAGTAATGTCGGAAATAACCTTCAGAGCTCCACTTCTCCTCCTCTTCCTCCCTTTCTTCTCCATTTTTATTCCCCCCTTCGCATCTCAAGCAGTCGTCGGGCGGATTATGGCCCCTCTCATGCCTAGCACCGCTGAAGATATATGATCATATTAGTGCAAAATGATGTCATGCAATTCAAGACGTTTGTCCTTCGCGCACCCTCTGAAGTACCTATCCCCCACCCCGCAAACCCACCCCCGTGCTCCCCCCTTCCACCCTCGCAGATGATGTCACAGTCTTTTGTGTGTGGGAGGCGAATGAGATGCCCCCCAAGTTCTCCGAGTGTAAGTGGGAGGCTGCCGCCATCTTGTGAGAAGAGAGCGAATGAAAAACTGAGTGGAAATTTGATCCCTATTGGCGGCAGAAGTGTTTCTAGCAGATTGGCATGCCAAGTATGTCGAAGAGTAATCAGGAGGATTTAAAAAATTCCGCAAAACGTGGGGTGACCACATGTCCCGGGTTAACCGTTCAAGAGCACTCAAACACCGTCAATGAGGAAAATACACCATGTGGGAGGCAGAAGAGTTGCTCGCATGATAAGTTAGCGAAATTAGCATACACGGCGATCGTGTTTAGTTGTAAGCATGAAAACACCAAGGAGCTTTTTTCCCCCAAGGATGTGGAAGAGCCGCCAAAAGAGAATATTGTTAAGTAAGTGCCTCTTTTGTCCTCCTGGTTGTTATAATGAGAAACGGGTGAGCTCTGTGGGAGTGTTGAGGCAGGAAACAGGAAACTATATTGGTTCAGCAGAGACAGAAGAGTTGCTAATCACGAAGCTAAAAAAATTGCAAGCAATGCTATCAACTTTTTTGTTTACTCTGGCCCTTTATAGAGATGAATTGTTACACCGTGGAAGAGTATTTTGGTGAATATAAACATGAGGAAAGCAGCAGAGTTACTCTCGTAAAAGCTAACTAACTTAGCATACACCATAATTATGCTTGTCATTTCCTCTGGTGGACTTTTTTATTTCGTTCCTTTCCATGTCATTGTTCAAAAGTCGTCTTCCATTTCCAGGGCCACTTCCTCCAATTGAAGCCACGGCAGTTCACTTCGCAGTGTGACAAAATGGCCGACGTTCGCCAAACCAGAAACAACACAGCAACTGAGTGCGCTCCGAGAGACGGCCATGTCACAGGCAGGGAACCACGTGGCTGCATGGGCATCATAGTACTCCACCATGTTGGTGGCCGACACACCCGTATTGCCCCCAGCCACGAAGAGGCGGTCTTCTAGTACCTGGATCCCAAAGTTGCTGCGTGGACACTGCATGGAAGGTAAGAGCATCCAAGCGTCCGTGTTGGGGTCATAGGCCTCTACGCTACACAGGCGCATATCGCCGTCAAAACCACCGATCTTAAGAAAGAAGAGGAGAGTTACAAGTCAGATCATGCCCTAACCTGAACCTTAACCAGAATAACCAAACCTAACCACCCTATTGATTGACTAACTTAGGCCTGGTACACGCATGAGAATTTCTTAATTCTGTGATCAGACCGAACGTGAGCTGAGCATTACTGGCAGCGCGTTTCCATATATAGTGCAGTTAACACGGTTGCATGCAGGCCAGCGTGGATGAAGTGTTTGAAGTGAAAATTTTGGGTCTTCACCCATTTCATTTACATATGTGCACTTCTTGTGGCGTTGTCACCGACAGACAATTTCCGTCAAGAATATGTTCACAAGCAACAGCAGAAGCACAAATAGCACGATGAAATAAAAACAATATCTGTGGGACCGAGAGGTATACAGCACAGCCAGCTTCCAATTGCAGCCGGGACCGAGCCAAAAAGGAGCAGGCTTGGAAAATGAGGAGCGGGGAAGTTGGCGTATCTGCTAAGTGGAGTGACTTATTTACAGCTGTTGAAACTGTCAAGCATGATTACATTTAGCAGCGAAAGTACTAGCACTACCACTGCATACCAGATTGACGACCAAGATTCAAACTTCTACCCTCCTCCTCCCCGCCCGAAGCAACCACTATATAGTTGCCCTGCGAACAAAATCATGTGACACACATGGGGTGAAGTGATATTTTGTGTTTGGTCTGGACCTAACATTCGATATTGTTTATCTGTTACATACCTAATATGTGAACAAGAAAAATCTGGCATTTAACAGTTTTTATCGTGCTGTGTGTCATATGCTCCAACTGTTCCACCACCAACCTAGAATCTAGTGCTGCGAGACAAAAACATTTTTGTGATCAAACATGTTTTAACAAAAAAAAAGAAGATACTGCAACAACCGCAAAAAAACAATAGCTGCAATATGGGAAGAGAAACCCCAAAAGGAGGGAATGATGATGTTCTTGGGACTATTTTTCTTGAGAAAACCACCATAGAAAACATTTTCTGTAGACCATCAAAGCGGACTATATAGTTCTACAGCTCTGCGAGCTGCCCCTCCACTTCTAATGTCCACCAGACTTCAGTGTTTCAGGTAGAACATGGTAGGACATTTGTTTTTATTTACGACCATTTCCTTGTTTCTCAGTCGGCCACTTATTGAACGTATAAAGTCCGTTTGATGTCTCAATTCTGAGGTATGACTCAAGAGTTGTTGGCTTTCCCCGCAAGGAAGACATTTGGTTGTAAATATTGAATGTTTCATATTTAAGATTGTCTGCAACAATCTGTTTCCTCATTATCTGCACCTTAACACACCTCAGACCAAAGGATAATCTGTAAAACATAAGATAGTCTGCCATTTGACATCCGAAAAAAATCAAGACCTCCTTGTCCCTATGTGTATACCAGGCCTTATACGTTCATACCAGTCCTAAAATGGCTGACCCAAACTCTTAACATGCTAACTCAGTGTATTGCACGTACTGCATAAATGTGGTTGGCATAAGCAATGACTCCAGTGCCACTGCGACAGCAGTTCATTGGGACGATCATGGTCCACTGGTTGGTCTCTGGGTTGTAATACTCCGCCGTTCGCAAGGGCTCATTTCCGTTAAAACCGCCGCATACGTAAACCTGGAACCCAAAGTTGGACTGACTGGTAAATTGAAGGCAGAATAATACAGAAAATTATCTCCATCCTAATGTTAATAAATTCTAACTATGAGAGAAACTAAATTTAGGAAGTGAAATTACCTTCAATTTTAGATCTTAGATGTTAGTTTTTGAAGTGTACCTTTTATCACCACCTACCTTGTTGTTGAGGGTGGTACAGCTAGCGTCGCTCCTGTGTTCATGCATACTGGCGATAAGAGTCCACTGGTTTGTCTCGGGCATGTAGTACTCTGCGTTTTTTAGTCTTATGCGACCGTCCACGCCCCCAATGGCATATACGCGCCCGTTTAGCACCGTGACACTCACGGAGCACCGGCGAAAATGCATGGGCGCTACCTGGTGCCAGGTGCGAGTGTTCACATCAAAGCGCCGAACAGTGTTGTAATGCCTCCGGCCGTCAAATCCGCCCACGCAGTAGACAGAGTTGCCCAGGAATGCAGTGCCGAAGTAAGCATGTGGATGTTCCATGTTGTCGACCAAGTCAGCCCAGGTGTTGGCATGCACATCATACGCCTCGATGAGGTGCGTCGGGTTGGGGCCGCTGAAGCCGCCAATGGCAAGCAGGATGGCGGAAGGCAGGCGAGGACGAGCCACCAGGTTGCGATAGCCGCACACAGAGTTTGTGTTCATGTGGCACATGACGCGGGTAGCCAAGGCAACTATGTCCAGGCACTTCCTGCTGTCCTGGATCAGATGATTGGTCAGCACCTTGATTGCGATGAACTCTACGCTTGTCAGTGCGAGACGGACCTACACAGTGCAAATTAGAATCAGGTTGGAGGCAAGGTGGGTTCTAGGAACTGTGATCAGACATCCAGTTTCCATGACACCTAATCCCAAAATCTGTACGATCACCCTGGACTCTAAATAAGGTATAGCACCCCATGTGCTGTCAGTGGAGTGCTTCAGGAATACCAAATTTGAGAGACATAATTCCCTCCAACCTTAACTCCAACCCCAATCTGGCTCCTTATGGTACCCTACCCCTAATTTGTAAATCAAATCCACCCCAATCCTGACACCCATAATTTACCCCTTACGTAATTTATTACCAAACCATAATCCTACTCTAAACCTCAACACTGGGCCTACTCCTAAATCCAACCCTACTTCTAAATCCAACCCAAATGTAAGGTCCTTACTCCAACTCAAAAGCCATGCCTAATGTATTGCCTCATCCAACTCTATCCTAAATTTGATATCTAATACTGTCCTCCCATAGCTAATCCTAATCCCACCCTAATTCTTACTCTAATTTATCCTTTTACCTGAATGGCCTCTGAACCCTAGGATCAAACCTATCCTAACTTCTAGTGTTGAACCCACCTGAAACTCAAATCCTCAACCTACTCCGAGTTACATTTTATCATAACCCGTAACTATTACCTTAATGCTGTCACCTCTGAAACCGAGCTACAGCTAGTGTCTTTTAATGCCACACCCTTATGCTAACCTATTCACACCTAACCATAGCCTACCCTTTACCCTATCCCTATACTTGCACAAAATCCCACACTAACCCTCCCCATAACCTTAAACTAACTCTTTCTCCCTTTATCCTCAAGACCCAACTCCTTGCCTAACCCTTTACTCAAACCCTAACCCAAAACATTACAGATCCTATACTGCGGATACGAAATCCAATTGCCCAAGTGCTTGTTGACTTACTTTGGCCAGCAGCACCGCCATGTTGTCGCCTCGCTCCCAAGGTGCATGTGCAATCCAGTGCAAAATGGCCTCATACACAGTATTTTCCGTTTTTACCATAAGGTCATCCCGGTCCAGGATATCGCATAAGTCCTGTACGGAGAGTTGCTGCAACTCATTTGAACTCGCAACATCTTCAAAGTGGTAGAGGATATACTGGAAGGCATTTCGCTGTAGATCCGGGGTGTAGCAGTTCCGCGTGAACTGCCAAATGCCAATGCAGTTTTCTGGACAGAGCTGCTCCGTTAGAAATGCGCAGCAGGTTTGGACAATGCCAATTATGTTGAACCGGTCTGCAGCCAGCAACAAATCCTTGACATTGTCCTTTGTCACCAACACAGAGCCAGCATATGCAAAATCAACAAATAGTTGCATTAACTGAGCCGTCAGACCATGTATGACGTAGACCCTCTGGTCTGAAGTTGACCATCGTAGAAAGAGGGCTCTGAAAATTCGGAATACAGAGATAGAATTCGTAATTCATCATTAATTTTTCCTCTCGAAAACATGCATCTTAGGTTGCTTACCTAGAAATCGTCAACTCACCTGAAGTAGTGGCTGCACTTGCAAAGAATAATTTTGTGGATGTGAAATTCAGCATTGTCAACCCTGATGACCGCATCGCTAAGTTTCCTTGTTCGACTTAGTTCGTCATTGACAGACCTGTATGAATATTTACCATCGTAACTCATCTTGATTGTTTTGCCATCTCGGAACACCCGTTGGGCTTTTACTCGTGAAATATCTCAGCAGGGAATATTAACACAGGGCGGGATGTTACAATTACATCATGGTGGCGTTCTATGTCAAAAGCCAACCTCGTCATCAGTAGTTACATCATTGGCATCATTAAAGCAACAACACTTTGGATTGAAAGAAAACATCACTGTTCATTTTTATCCTCCACTGCCTGAAAGATGTCACACATTTTTGACGGGAACAGAAAGGCTAACTTACTCTGAGCCTATCCTGGCAAATTTGGGGATGATGGAAGACTACACCCTGGATATCATATGGACATTGATCGCACAAAAGCCAACTCTCTTTGTTTGAACTCTCTTGCCTTCGTAGAAGAGCCATCGTCATTTATGGGACGAATAGATCTGAATTCAAAACAGGTGAACATGATCCTCAGATAATTTAGGCTTGAAGATAAACCTAATAACATGCTAAACATATTAAATCCAAAAGGCTTTTTTTTTTTTTTTTTATAAAGAAAAGGTGCTTCTTGCTCGTTTCAAGGTTCTTGACCTTGTTTGAATTTTTTTTTCCCCCCAACTCGTCAACCTCCACCATAGTGATTCTGCAGTCACCCCACTGTGCATCGCCAACCAAGTCCGCAAGGTGTTGTCTTTCTGCCTGAAACTTAGTCTTAACCATCAAATCTAATGAAGTTGACCCTTGCAAATGAATGGAGTGAGGCATTTTCTGGTCCAACTGCATTCTAATTCAGGAGTGCTTTGACTTGCCAAACCACATAGTAATAGAAAACATTGAATCTCCACCTTGTCTTATATGTATGATTTTAGAAGAATTTTTTTATGAGTTCTACAGACAGCATGCACGGGTCAATGTGTTTTTGAATATTATGGTTACATGAAAGTATTCAATTAAATTTACTTGAAATAAATAGGTTGGATTAGCCATCCAGTCACTTTTTTCTTGGAAATGTTTGAATGTGGAATGGAAAAAAAATAGCACATTTCCTAAATGAGTAGAACATTTTAATCTTGAAATGGTTTGAATCGGGTGAAGGAAGTGGAAGTTTTACAATGACAAATGCTGGTCAGAATTCACAAATTGAAAATGTTTAGACATCAAACCGTATCTCTCCCTGATGCCCAAACTCATCATAGTCATAGCCGGGGGCCACTGCTAGCCCTTTGGGTGTCCTAAGGTGAAAAGGCAGACCGTGTCCCCCAACACACCTTAATATTACCGTTTTTCAAGGCCCCAAATTTTTGGGTGATAGAGGTATGGGGTGTTTATGCTGACGGCTTTGGTACATTTTCAGAATTGAGATTACAGATCAGAATTGAATTTCTAAAAACTACAAATGTTCACAACATTGTCACTTGTTCAAATCAAAAAAGCAGTTTCTCATTTCTTGGAACAAGTTGCTAATGCTTTGCCACATCCAAGCAAAGGTTCACGTACAATTTTCTGCTGTTTTTGACATTATCGATTGCTTATGTTTATCCATCCATCCATCCATTTTCTGATCCGCTTATCCTCACAAGGGTCGTGGGGCGGGCTGGAGCCTATCCCAGCTGTCTTCGGGCAGGAGTCGGGGTACACCCTGAACTGGTTGCCAGCCAATCAACAACCATGCCATTAGCAGCTTCAGCAACAACCATTCACACACACAATCACACTTAGGGACAATTTAGAGTGCTTCATTAACCTGCCACGCATGGTTTTGGAATGGGAGGAAACCAGAGTACCCGGAGAAAACCCACACAGGGACGAGGAAAGCATGCAAACCCCACACAGGAAGGTCGGAGCCGGAATCGAACCCTGCACTTCTGCACTGTGAGGCAGACATGCTAACCAGTCGACCACCACTGACGTGCAGTGACACAAATATTTAGTTTTGAGCGGTTTACGAAATATTTTCCAGAAGAAAATGGCTTTTGCAGGGGAACCTTGTTTTGCTTTTTGTACCATTGGTTTCGGGAAAATACATGCTGTATTGTAAATTTCAATTATGATCTGAGAAATGTACCAAAGCAACTGAGGAAAATTACATTCAGATTACCTCAATAACAAATGTTTAAAAAAAAAAAAAACAAAAAAAAAACTATTTAATTGTCTGGTCTTTTCTTAGGGCTGATTGATGTGCATTGTTTTGGAATGCTGGAGGAAGCTTTCGCACCCCTAATCCAAATCCAAAACAAAATAAATGTGAGGGAGATATGCTAACTAACGTGCACCTTGCTGCTGAGATCGATAGCTTCTTCTGGTGAGGGAAAGTAGAGTTGTTCAAACCTTTCCACATTATTAGTGTAGAAAAGGGAAGTTAATTTTGCCCTCTCCCTCCTTGCATGCAAAATGTAATCCTGCAAAATCATCCACATTTTTAATGAATATACCTGTATTCTGATTATATCTGTAACTGTAACAGAATAGTTACATCTTTTTGTATTCTGAATACATAACGGCGGTACATGTATTCCATTATTTCCCCAACATATTCACGCATGACACGCACTTGATGTTGACCCCCCCTCCCGCGCATGACGGCGCCCTGCACACTGTGGGTACTCTGTGAAAAGGGAGCGGCTGCTCTGGTTGTACCTTGAAGTACTTGACTGACATTTCCCAAAGACTAATCTTTTGGTAATCCAGCTGTCCATCCAGTCTCATGCCCATTGTTAACAAAATTCTATCATAATTTATTTCAGTAAATTATTAGAATCATCTTTCTTGTCAAAATAGTTACTTACACTCCAGGGAAAACTATCAGCGTGTGAGTATTATTTCAGTCATTTGTTAGCACAAAGTCACTGCAAGTTTTTTTTAGACTTCATCTTCCATATCAACTGTATCATCCTCCAAGAAGAGCAAAGGCAGGTCATTACGAAGCATCGTATACTGGGCAATGTTGGGCAACCCGGACATTACACAGCAGCTCAGAGCGCTTCGAGAGATCCGCATATCATTGGCCGCAGACCACGTGCCAAGTTTCAGATCGTAGTACTCCACCAGGTTGGTGGTGGAGACACCGTTGTAGCCACCAGCCACAAAGAGACAGTCCTCCACCACTTCAATGCCAAAGTTGCTCCTGGGGCACTGCATGGGTGGCAGCATGATCCAGGTGTCTGTCTGAGGGTCGTAGGCCTCAGCACTAGCCAGGCGGTCATCGCCGTCATAGCCTCCAACCTTCAGGAATAAAAGCAAGATTAAAACTTCATTTCCTAATCAAATTCCTTGATTGCTGGTGTCAGCCCTACACTTACTGCGTACACAAGGCTGCCATGCCCGATGACCCCAATGCCACTGCGGCGGCAGCTCATGGGGGCCGTGGCCATCCACTGGTTGGTCTCTGGGCTGTAATATTCTGCCGTTTGCAGTGACTCATTTCCATTAAAACCACCGCAAATGTAAACCTGAAACCGAATGGTGATTATTAGTGAACTGAAGTAAAAATCAATGACAGACAGAAGTATCCCAACTTTTTCGCCACCAACTGCTCACACTCCAATTCTGGGCAAAAGAGCATCACTCATTGGACTAATATAAGTAGTTCAAATCTGGTGGCAATCAACCTAAATCTTTGGGTAGTTTGCTGGTGAGGAACCCCTATAGATGACCCTAAAATAGGTACTTTATACCCAGACTTGTCTTGCGTTTTCCTGCATGGCTTCTTGACTCTTTGTCGGTCTACTCAAGATAGTCGCCGCCGTTGAATTTCATATTCCTGTAATAATTGGCTTAGGTGGCTGAATTTTATAACAGTTCCTGTGATTATTCATCAAATCTCAATACAATGATTCAACAAGCCATGACCAAAACTAGTAGAACCCCGACCCCTCCCCAAATGGTTGTTTAGAACCAAAACAGAATTCCTGCCTCTTCTGGTTAGGGTTGGATTACCAACCTTGTCATTGAGGGTGGTACAGCTAGCATCGCTCCTCTGTTCTTGCATACTGGCAATAAGAGTCCACTGGTTGGTTTCAGGTGTGTAGTACTCAGCCGTCTCAAGTCTTACACGTCCATCGTGGCCTCCTATTGCGTAAATGCATCCATTTAGCACTGTGACGCTCACATAGCAGCGGCGGAAGTGCATGGGCGCCACTTTATGCCAGGTACGAGTGTTCAGGTCAAAGCGGCTGACAGTGTTGTAGTATTCTGTGCCATCAAAGCCGCCCAAACAATAGATGGCATTGTTGAGAAAGGCGGCACCGCAGTACGCCCGCGGTTGGTCCATATTGTCCAAAAGGCTGACCCAACTGTTAGCGTGGATGTCATATGCCTCGATGCACTGCGTCGGGTTAACTCCACTCCATCCGCCTATCGCCAGAAGGATGGCGGAAGGCAGGCGGGGACGAGCGACCAGGTTGCAGAATCCAGACACGGAGTTGGCTTTCATGTGACGGATCACTCGAGTGGCGAAACCTACCATGTCCAGACACTTGCTGTTGTTCTGTACCATCTGATTGGTCAGCACGTTGACCGAGATGAACTCCTCACTTGTCAGAGCCAGACGGACCTGCACATTGGACAGAGGCCAAGGAGATGGTTGGGGTTTAAAAGTGGGGTTTCTTGACAGGGTTAGAGTTTAAATTTGGGGTCCAAAGCCATCGGTATTCAAACCCTGAACCTGAAGTAAAGTGCTTAAATTCTTTGTGCTAGTAGAGAGACAAAAGGTGCACCTGATACAAATCAGTGAGCTTTTTTTACTCACCCGCGCTAGCAGCACAGCCAGGTTCCTGCCTCGCTCACGGGGTGCATGCGCAATCCAGTGCAGGACGGCCTGGAACACCGTGTTCTCCTTCTTCACGATCAGGTCATCGCGGTCTAGGATGTCGCACAAGTCCTGCACAGAGAGCCAGCGGAGCTCGTGCGAGGCAGCCACGTCCTCAAAGTGGTAGAGGATGTACTGGTAGGCCTCAAGCTGCAACTGGGGAACGTAATAGTTCCTGGTGAACTGCCAGATGCCCACGCAGTTCTCCGGCCTGAGCTGCTCTGTTAGAAACGTGCAGCAGGTTTGAACAATGGCAATCATATTGAACTCATCGGCCGCGATCAACAACTCCT